CTCCTTTTTGGGTGCTGAAAAAAGCCAAAACAGGCAAAACATTTAACAAAAGTACCAAGGTAATATCTTTTTTCACTAGTTTGATTTCCTCTGAGGCCTCAGTTCTACCAACTATTTTTCATGAATGTGACATCATACTGATTAGTCAAGCTCATAAAGGTGTAGCAAGAGACTGACATTACCTAATTAGATTCCTTTTTAGTCTTTATTTACTTAATTCCATAACATTTTGCTTAGTAGTTAAAATTAAGCATAAGCATCTTGGAAGGCTTTTTCTTCCTGATTGATTCTGAACATACAATACTTACCATTCTGGGCAGGACTGTTGAGAAGCAAGATTTAATTAATGAAATAAGTGATTTTTTTCTTAAAACTATGTTTTTAAGAGTAATTAAAATATTTATTCTTCTTTAATTACAACAGTGTACTGACTATGACCTGGATTATGGAACTGAATGTTTGCATCTGGCTCTGAAGTACTCCAATACAAAGGCCAAACTAATCGAAGGAACACCTGACCTCTGGAAGGTAAAGGTGTTATTAATCTCTCTTTTATATGCTTATCTTAAATGAATAAAAGTAGCATGGCCGATGAACTTCATCTTAAAAGCAACATTTAAAAGTGTGTTAAATTTTAATATTTGTGCTTTTCTCTTCCATATTTCAAGATTTTGAATATTCAGTAATGTTTTGTGACAATTATGAGGCTGACTTTCCTTGTAAGAATCCTTAGTTGCTTATATTTTCAGAAGCTGGAGAAAGTTTCTTCCAACCCCTATCATCTACCCCCAGCATTTTTCATGGAGACTGGTAGTAGTAGTAGCTTTTCTGTCTTAAGATGAAAACCCATTAAAGGTGCGTCACGGGTTAAGATCAGCTGAATGTAGTATTCAGTGCTAGGCCATTTAAAGAGGAGGTGGTGGTAGGGTCTGCTAGGGTAAGTGGTAATCCTTCAGAATAAGGGGGGGAGGCTAGGTGGGCTCAGCAACAGGGTATTTGAAGAATTCCCACTGCTGGTTATTTCTTACTGCTTGCAGTGCTGTAAATGCAATTTTAATGCATAGTAACAAAAGAAACAGTAGGTATTTTGGGAAATATGATATAGAAATATAGGCCTGAGTCTGGAATTTAGCATGCGGAGAGATTTACTGACCTTTTGTTTTAGAATCATACAATCATAGAATTGTTAAGGTGGGAAGGGACCTCTAGAGATCATCTAGTCCAACTCCCCTGCACACGCAGGGTCACCTAGAGTACGTGGCACAGGACTGCGTCCAAGCAGGTTTTGAAGATCTCCAGAGAAGGAGACTCCCCAACCTCTCTGGGCAGCCTGTTCCAGTGCTCTGTCACCCTCACTGTTAAGAAATTTTTCCTTAAGTTCCTGTGGAACTTTTGGTGCTTCAGATTGTGGCCATTACCTCTAGTTCTGTTGGTGGCCACCACTGAAAAGAGACCAGCACCATCCTCCTCACTGCCTCCCTTGAGGTACTTATAGACACTGATTAGATCCCGTCTCAGCCTTCTCTTCTCCAGGCTGAACAGGCCCAGCTCCCTCAGCCTCTCCTCACAGGACAGATGTTCCAGGCCCCCGATCATCCTTGTAGACTCTCTCCAGCAGCTCCACATCCCTAATGGGGAATCACTTTAATGGATTTTAATTCAGTTGTACCTGATAATGTCTCTTTAATCCATTCTGGAAGTTGGAGGCCATTTCACAGGAGTAAATCTCTGTAAAAGTGTCAGACTCCAAAAAAGTTTCGCTTTAAGTGCACTTCAAAAGATTTTTTTTCACAGTGACTTGAGAATAACATTTCCTTCTCTAAAGTATAAACATTCTATACCTGAAAAAATCAGCAAGCCATATATGTTAATTAGTGATGTGTTTTCATTTCCTTCTTCATTTTCTGAACTCATTCTTTTATGTGTAGATATTTGTGATATAAGGAAAATGTGTTTTGATTTGAGAGGAATAGATAAAATAATTGTTGCAGAAACTGACTTCCTTTAATGAAGCAGTTGAGTGGAGATTATGACATCTACAGAGTGTGGTTTTATTTGTTGTTATCTACATCATCTCCTTAGAGGCTAAGGTCCAGTATTCCTTGCTGTGAAGAATGTCAGTTAATATCTTTTTTACAAATGTTGTTAAAATACTGAACTCATAAAATCAAGGAAATGAAACCTATGATACTGTGTTTGATACGAAACTACAAATAGAGCAGTACAGGTACTCGGAAAAAGAAGCAGTTGTGTTGATTTACCTCAAGAGTTGAGTAAGTCAAGTTAATACTACAGATTATCCATGCTTATCATTAAAATGAAATTTCTTTCTTTCATGGTTGCCTGCCTATTGAATAAATCTAGTCTAAACTACACTTCCAAGTCAATGTGAGAAAATCTGAGAGGGTTGAATATCCTACCACAAGAGAAACTTTGTTTGGATTAAGTGTCTTATCAGGAGAGATGGAGAGAAACCGTGCTTCCCAGAATAATTCATGGCTGCCATCTGTGGTGTCTTTTTTTTTTTCCTCTATCCAATTTACTATTTTCATAAAGTTTATAGTAGCTTGTATCTGAAATTTCTAACCCTCTGACAAAATAGATTGAAGTTAGTTTTTTTAGGCTCAAAGATGATGAAGGAAATACATATGGATGGTATGATGTTGTCCCACGTTATTTATTTCTCTAGGAAATCAGTCTAAAAAGTAATTTCTGATATCTGGCTGTTAATCTCAGAACTGATTTTAAGAATTAAAGATTAAAAAGGGAGCCTGATGTCCTGGGGATCTATTCTTTCCTTCCACCAGGGAAGGACCTTTAAGAAAATTTTGGTAAGTATTCTAAGTAGAGATTTGCCATCTTATTTGCTAAAAGTTCTGAATGGCAACTTTGGACTCTCTTTGTTCTCTCAGAAACCAAAGCTCTTCATTTCCAAAACATGTTACAGGAGAAAAAAAAAAAAAAGAGAGAGGAGAGAACATTTATATAGAAAGAAATGCAGAAAATCCAGTAATGTTTTAGTTAATGTAGCAGGAAGTTACAGCAACAACAAAGACAAGTATTTAGTAGCTATCAGGTATATCACTCCATATCCTTGAAAAACAGCAAATTCTGAGTACATAACTAGCAAAGACTCTTAGTGTCTTGTCTATTTTTTTATGTTTTTTGTATGAAGGCTATTACCCTGATTGTCAACCATTGTGATGATGCAAAGAAAAATGCAAAAAAAAGTTTCCTAAAGGTACCAGGTAAATACTCAGCAGCTTATTGTCCATTTCACTTGATTTATGTATTCAGGAAGGTCTTGGCGGTGGGCACTCATACCAATGCTCACGTCAAGTCTACTGCAGTTCTCTAGCCTGGCTCTCACGGTCAGCTGGCCTCTCAGTCTTACACTGCCTGAATAATTTCACCTATATTACTCCTATAAATAACTAAGCTTCTCCCAGGTTGTGATTATGATAACAGTTTCTTCTGAAGATTATTCTTTCTCATGATAAAAATTACAGAGTAGAAATACAGTTTCCTAAGAAATTATGAAAATGGTTGTGTAAAAATAGGTGTGATATATTTCTCAATGATAACTTAAAGGGTTAAAAATAGGTTTAAAATGAGTTCTAAGCAGATCTAAGTGTTTTTAAAAAAAACACATTTCTCTGGAGACTCCAGTAATTTCTGCAGCTTTGTTTCTCATGACTTGCCAGGGATATTTTACCATGATTAAGAAATTGACAATATCATTTGTTTATGGTGTTTCAAATGTAAAGAATTGCCTTCAGGGCATTGTTTTATTGGTTTTACATTCCTTCCTGCTGTGTAAAATCTCATGAGGTTTATCTGTCCTTTAGGTGACCTACAAGCGGGATCTGTATGCAGCTGAATCGATTGTTAAGGGTATGTGTTCATCCTTGTGCCTGTCAGTTTGCATAGTCCTGAGTGTAATTTGGAGTTTTGTGTGCTGTTGTTTTAAATGTCTTTAAGAAAAGTTTAGTGATGGCTAAATTGTGCTTTGGCGAGTTGTGTTAACTTGTTTTCTTACTTTATATCATGTATTATTTACCTACATTATTTACCTTACTGCTCTTAGACAGTGTTATAAAAAGCTGTGCTGAATGAATAAATACATTCTTGATTCTTAGCACCAGTTCAATTCTCAATATTTTGCATCGTTCTGAACTTAGTAGGCTGAAAAGCATTTATTAACTCTTAAGGGCTCTTACATGCACCTTATATGCAGTGGCTTGTTGCCTGAATTGACATAGCGGTGATGCATCGAAATATCCAGTTAGTTTGGAAATACTTTGTTGTATTGTTGTAACCTTTTCCTATACCAGCGTGGTGGGTTATAGCACTCTGGTAAGAAATAATCTGGAAAGAAACAAATCTTAAGTAGTGTATGTTGAACACTCTGATTATTCTGAAATAACCGAGGGATAAAAACCCAGAAACAAAGGAGTGGAAATGGACTTTTGGGAGGAAAAAGGATTAGGGAAGAAGAGTTACTGTTTCCTGTTTAAGGAAAAACAGAGTAAAACCCACGTCCTGCTAGACCCTTGCTGAGAGACTAGCTAATCACTTCAGTGGTTCGCTTATTGTTGCAAGATTCAGTATCTGTTTAGCTTCTCATTTGGACAAATTAGTCCATACTGAGCTCAGCACTGTTATACTAGGCAAGCTGGCTAACCAGATCATAGTTCAGATCTTGCTGTGGTGTGCTGCACACTTCTTTACTTTTCTGGAATTGTTTTCAGACTTAATTCTGGTAGTTTGAGATAAAGAATTCCAAGGATGCAAATAGTTTGAAGCTTCCAGGTGTTACAGTGAACAAATACTGCATAATATGATATATGCATTGCTAAAACTATATTACTAAGTCTTTCAATAACCTGTTACGGAGAAAGTAGCATGGAAGAAACTTCAAAAAATTCTCATATTAAAAAGAGATCGGCTTTTTCCTCCAGAGATGGCAGCCTGGAGTTCCTGAAAACCTTGCTGTGAGTAGGATTCTTAGAGGTTCCCAGACTCCTACATTTTTCAAGTGTAGGACTCCAAAGATACGAAAGACAAGATGGTGATCATGGATATTCAGCAAGGCCTTATGAAAGGGAAATCACACCTGACCAACCTGATAGACATTTGGTTTTAGAAGGCTAGCTCAGTAGATGAAAGGAGAGCAGTGGATATTGTTTATCTTGATTCCAACAAGACCTTCTAGGTTGCCTTCCGTAAAACCCTCATTGACAAGCTGATCAAGTACAGACTAGGAAGGTGGACAGTGAGCTGGATTGAAGGCTGGCTGAGCTGCTGGGCTCTAGGGAGCATGATGTGCAGCACAAAGTGTAGTCACTGGTGCTGTGCGATACTGGGCCAATGCTCTTTGTGAATGTCCATGTTGATGGGGCACCGTACCCCCAGCCAGGCTGCCGATGGACAGCGGATGAAAACAGCAAAGGCCACAAAAAACATTGTGGGACTGGAACATCTGACCTACCTTCTACCCTCAGAGTCTGAGAGAGCTGGACTGTTCAACCTGAGAAAGGGAAGGCCCAGGAGGATCTTACCGATGTGTACGAATACCTGATGGAGGGAGTAAAGAAGATGGAGCCAGACTCTTCTCAGCATCATCCAGTAGAGACAAGGAACAGTGGGCACAATCCGAAACGCAGGAAATTCTGTCTGAACACCTGAAAAGCCTGGAACTTCTTAGGGTTCTCAGGCTTGCTATCGCAAAGCTGGGAGTCTGAAAGGGAGATTGTCTGTCCTTATTTTCCTAGGAATAATTCCTTCAGCTGAGCCTGAAGAAATATGCATATCTTGAAACTCAGCAGTTATTGAATTACTTTATGTTTTACGGCATTAATATTTTCTGAATCGTATTCTTAACATTTTCTTATAGGAAGCTTTGAAAATGGGAGTCTGGTCTGACTTTAAGAGGAAAAAAAAGTAAAAATATTATGTTTTCCTAATTTGTCCACTTGTTTTTGAACAGGTGTAGACCCCATTAGGTATATATAAGCTTAAAAGAACTATATGAAAGTTCTGGATTCAACTCTGTGATTATCAAAACATGAATTTCATAACATTAGCTGCTGCTTTGAAAAAAATACTAGTACTCCATTTAATTTTAGGTGATCTGTGCTCAGATAAAACAATTCAGTTTGGATATAAATTTTTAAAGCTCATATATTGTTGTTATATTTGTCATGGGAGCAGCATGGCTAACATGATGAACACAATGGTGATATCATGTCACTGTATGGTTCAAAATCAAGCAGTAATTATATACATATATATCTATCTATAACAAGGACCTGAACTGATACTTTAATGACAGTTCAAGACAAAAGAAATTGAAATTTGCAATCTTTAAAATTATTATATTTTTTTCTAGTCTAAATATAAATCCCATTTCACTGCTTATTATGCATGTCTGTAACTAATAAGCTGTCCTGGCCTTAGCCCGATGATCTGCCTTGTCCCATTTAATTGATTTAATTTCTGTGCTTGTTCTCAACTAAATACATAACTTTTTACAGAGTCAACACCAAACAAGAATAATTTTTAAAATATCTTCTGGGACACTTCAGAATCCTATTTATATCATCCAGGAATATGCATGCTAGGAATGGCATTACCTCCATAACAGAAATTCTACTGAGTTCTTGTTTCTGAAGTAGTGGACTCTTGCTTTAACAATATGGATTCCTTCTAAATCTGAAGTATTATCAGTAATTCTCAGTATTATGTATAAAGGAGAGACTTTCAAAAACAGTTTCATGTGGTAATGTTAATAAGGAAATGCATAAACCTGATGCAACCATCTAGATGTGCTGTTTTGTACAATAAATTCATTTTCTATAAAAAGAATCGATGCATTTCTATGAGGCTCCCTGAGGCCAGTCCTGCCAGTATAGCATGATGCAAATGGCAAGTCAGCTTGGAGGAGCAGAGGAGCAGCCACCGCCAGGCAGCAGCCAGCAGCGTTTCCCTCCGGGGTTTCACTGTGGGCCTCTGGAGAGAGGAAGGGCCTTCCGCAGAGTCTGGCCTACGCACAGATGTGAGCTTGGCTGGCAGACATCCCCAGTCTGCGCTTCATGGCTAGCTGGAGACCCATCTGCTTGTGGAAATTCAGATACCATGCTGCCAAGAGACATCCTCTGGGATAATCTTTTTGGATATCTTCCTCCCCTTTACTGTTTTTTGAATGATGATGAGATGCCTGCAACTTCCAGAATGGCATATTTAAAGCTACCTTTCCCTGCGGAATTTCCTGTCTTTTGCATTGTTCTAGGCCCTCTCTCACTTGTGTTTGGCACTAGTGACTAGTCTGCCTGTAACCCCATGGAGCAGAGCTGGCAGCAGTCTCTGTGCAGGTGCTTAGCTTGGCAGGCCTCAGCAAAACTGCTGCTAGGGCTTTCCTACCAGTGGGGAGAAGAGGTGCCTCTTCCTAACGCTGCAGGCTGCTAGGGATACCATCAGCCTCAACTATGGAATGGTGCTGTGCTCACGTAAAAGAGATGATGATAGTTCTTCTTCGTGACAATTTTTGAAGAGGACACATTGAGAAGCAGATTATGCACCATATTGTGGAGCCCTGCATCGCAGAGTTGAATTCGGGCTCTAGGAGCAGGTCACCCAGCGCCTGGAGCAGCGGGTGCTGCGTGTGGCTGTGAGGCCGGGAAGCAGGACAGCAATGCTCAGCATCCCGGCCAAGCTGCTGCTGGAGGCTCTGGGAGAGTCCCAAAAGCCAATTAACGTGGACAGGCAGGGAATAGGGCACCGAGTTGTTCTGGCTCCCCTTTACTGCCTAAGTCTTCACAACTGATTTCTTTATCAGTAGGTGATCGTGTTTATTTCTCTGGATGCATATTTTATTGATGGATGAACTTAGGAATGTGATAAAGAACACTTCATATTATCTACAGTTTATTTTATTAGTGGAACAAACTGTGGTTTCCCTCTATTTCAGGCACTGATGGTTATCTTTTCTCTCAACCTGTTTTAAATGGATTTTCTCTCTAAATAACTATACCAAAACCTGTAATAGAGCATAATAAAATATTAAGATCATCCTTGTGCCCGCAGACAGTTCTGCTTTTGAATTCCTGCTCCACTTTTTCTATTACGTTGTTATTATTTCTGAGGTATTCTTGTACTTGTGTAGTTTCTTCAAGTATTAACTTGCAGTTATGCAATTAATCAAATTAAATAAAAGAAAAATTATTATGGTAGTAAAATGATGTTTGAAAAAAAAATGCAGTTCTTCATCTGATTGTGATTATGAGACTGTGGCTTTGGTCAGCTACATTACAAATGTGATTCTAAGTAAGTAACAAATTCCAAATGCTTCATAGAAGCACAGCTAGATTTTTAACTGCTTGCCTAGTGAGTCTGAATAACAGATAAATTTCAACTTGCTAAATTTTACTCAGATATAGGTAAGAAAGCATACATGCATACTTACGTGTGTGTGTGCATATCGCTCATACTCAAAGCATTGCAAAGAAACACTTCATAATGTATAAAGACTAATAAGCTATTTATCTTTTGAGACTCTTTTCTTAAAACATGACTTATAAATTTGTTTACTTCCTCAGGTCTCTCTTTTACAACTGGTTATGAAAGTCTCAGAATCTTAGCATCATTTTTTTTAATAGTGCATTTAATGCTTTCTTTCAGCAGGTATGAACTTGTATAGTATGCAGACAAGGTGGCACATGCCTATTTTTAATAGTCTCAAAGTAAGAAAACATTGTTTTACAGTAAGGGTGACTCATCTAGAAATGTAGTTAAGATCTTGCTAATACAAAACATCCTAAAAAATTTCCTTCAGGGCTATTGCCCTCAGGGTTAGTATCTTTGAACTCTAGTTCAGTCATGTAAACTTTAAACGT